GCGCTTCGACCCCGATTGGTAGGCGAGTGTATTTATGCCTCAATTAAGCCCTGGGAGGGTCATCTGGCCATAGCCAGCGTCGGCTCGTCAGGGTCGGCGTTAGCCTCCTTTACTTCTAACAACCAGGTGTTGAAGTCGGTCTATCGTTCCTTTGAGGAACAATACCGTAACGCCGTTCAACACCTTAAGGTTTCAGTCCACTCAGCATACCTCTCGGCCCTGCAGAGGAAGCTGGTGGACCAGAGGCGGCGTGGGCGGCGGTCGCCATTCCGTCCGTTAGCCAGGCAGCTCACGGAGGTGCATTCACATCTGGCCGCAGCGGCGCCATTCCGGTCGTCGCTAGCCAGATGATGTCCTCTTGCGTCATGGGCCTCCGTCGGTTGTGGCTGTCTGTGGCCAGATACTCACCGGCTACACAGCAGGAAGCTATTGTCTTTGCCGTTCAGGATGGGCTCAACCCTGTTCGGGGGCATTGACAGTGGTCAGGAGGCCGAGGCTGTTAGCCAGTTTAAGGACTCTAAGCCCTTGCTGGAACAACCCCTCACTGCTCGCGCCCGCCTCGCCCCACCTCAGCTTACCCTTCCTCTTCAGGAAAGGAAGCGCCCGGGTGGGCGGCTCCACTTCAGGCACGTAGAGGCAAGGGCAAGGGTAGAGGTAGGGGCAAGGCGCGCCTCTCAGCAGCATTTTCAGAGGAAGGGAAGTCGGCCCGGCTTCCCAGTAAGCATTCCTCCGGGCCCTTGTTGGTCCGGCACAAGCAGTTGTTACACTGCCGACTGCGGGATTCACTGTCTCTTACCCGACGCCCCTGTAGGCGGCGGCTACCTCTCTTCGCCGGGAATGGGAGAAAGCCACATCAAATCCCTGGGTCCTGTCCACACTCAGGGATGGGCATATGCCACAGTGGAAGCGAGGCCCTCCTCCTTTCTCCGGGGATTAGACACTTGCGCCAGTGCAGACTCTCAGGAAAAGGCCGATGTTCTCCGATGCGAGGTCCAGGCTGCTGGACAAGGCAGCCATCGCGAGTGGTTCCGAGGGCCAGGAAAATTTAGGGGTTTTACTCAACCTATTTCCTGGTTACCAAGAAGGTGCGGAGGGTTCAGACCCATTCTCAATTTAAAGGGTCTGAAGAGTTTGCTAGAGGTACCGTCCTTCAAGATGGAGACACTCGCGATCGGTGATCTCATCTGTGGAGGCAGGGGATTGGCTTGCGTCCAATCGACCTCAAGGGCGCGATACCTTCATGTACCCATGCACTCCCGAGTTCAGGAAATACCTCCGGTTTTCCTTCTCGACGGGAGAGTGCTATCAGTTTCGTGTGCTCCCCGCCGGCATCTCCACGAGCCAAGGGTGTTCACAAAACTCATGCTAGTGCCAGCTCAAGGGTAAGCCAGGGCACAGGGGCAACTTTTGTTACCCATTACCTGGACGCACTGGCTGCTCAGAGGCGCTTCCACTCACTTGAGTCGGAATCCATTACCACAGACAAGTGATGGATATTCTCACCAGGTTGGGTTGGGTCATCAACCTCCAAGAAATCGAGCTGGTTCCATCCCAGGATCTGGTTTTCAGTGAGATTGAGACACAGCAGGGGCTTAGCCTCTCTGTCTCAGGACCGCATTTCCAAAGTACGGGTTGTTGTACAATTCCTTCAGTCCCCCAGGGCCTCAGCATCGCGCGAGATGGCTTCAGTTGCCTGAGGCAACATGGCGGCGGATGTAGTTTAGCGTCTTGGCGTCTGAGGATGCGAGCCAATTCAGCAAGCGTTAGCACAGCTGTGGATGCACTCGAGGGGAGTTCTGAGACTATCCTCCTAACTCCAGAAGTGGCTTCATCCTCCCTCACCTCAGGTGGTGGACCGACACCGGAATCTAGTCAGGGGGTATCCTCTGGAGACCCGGTGTCTCGCTCACGATTCAGGACGGGCGCCTCCCTCACAGGGTGCTTGAAGGGGGTCCTAGGGGACCTCACAGCTTCCGGACTTTGGTCCGTGAGGCGAGGCGACCTTACGCATCAGCGTGTTAGAATTGGGGGCGGTCCGGCGGGTATTGAGCGCTTCATGGAACAGGTTCGGAACCGTGTGGTTGGGCTCTAGAAATGGACAATCAAGCGGCGATGTCCCATCCTGAAGCAGTAGCAGATGCGGTGTCTCGTCCCACTCCTCCAGGGCGTGGCAGTTTCTGCTGTGGTGCGACCCGGTTCAACACACGGTATTACCTGTATCTCGGGGAGGACAACGTGCGTGCAGATGCAGCTCTCTCGCCAGTATCCTGGCCCCTCACGCAGTGGGTACTTTCGACCGGGAGATATTCGGGCTATCTCCCAGTTGTTCGGGTCGTTCCAGGTGGATCTGTTTTGCCTCTGGGATGGCCAGACCAGACTCGGTGTTTTGCTCCAGGATCCCGGATCCGGGGCGATGCAGCCTCCGATGCCTTCCAGCTAGATTGGGCGGACCCAGGGTCCTGTGGCGTTCCCACCCGATACCCTCTGATTCCCAGAGTCCCTATCGCAGCTAGCCACCCAACCAGCTGACTACTTCGTGCTGCTTGCACCTCTGTGGTCCGATCTCAGCGCTGAAGTTCCCGGTAATACTCAAGATCGCTAGTACAGCCTCCGGTGCTGTTACCCGACAGCGACCGGACCTCCTATCCCTAGGAAGGCCAGCCACACCGGATCCATGGATCCAGTGGGTGGCTTCAGCCCACTGTCAGGATTAGCCTCCGTCTTGGCGAATTCCTGCACCAGTTGCAGACACAATTCTGGCTTCAGCGGAGGGATTCGGACTAACACAGTATGAGGATAGATGGGCCTGTTATCGCAGCTGGTGTGAAACAGAGGGATACTTGATCCCTTTTCTTTGACTGTGGTGAAGTTTTGGAGTTTTACAGTCTCGGTTAGAAGCCGGCCTACGCGTCTACTATCCGAGGCTACTCCACAACTATTTCAGCTTTCCACATTTCCACCGAGGGTGCCCTTTTAGGACAACACCCTCTGGTTCAAAGCGTTTCTTAGCAGGTGTGAACAGAGTAAAATCCGATTCGTCCGTCAGGACCAGTCCACCATGGAGCTGTCCATGCGCTACTAGATTGGCTATCTAGTCCTTTCTTCTCACGATAGGTGGGATTGTCGCTTCAACTGTTAAGTTGGGCGGCATTTTGGTGGCCATTACTTCAGGTGAGGCGGGTGGGAGACATTCATGCTATGTCTTCAGACCCGAGCTTACCGTTTTCATAAGGATAGGGTAAGTATTGGCTTACCCACATTCCTACCGCCAAAATCGATAAAGCGTTTCATGTCACCGCTCCTATTGATTTACCTGCCTTTACGCTTCCTGCTGAAGTCTGGTAAGCGCCAGCCAAATACATGTGTTGGATGTCACGAAGACACTTAAGGCGTGATGTCAGAGAACACAGTCAATCCATAAAGATAAGCAGTTGTTCTGCTGTTACAGGCTGTAAAGTGCGGTCACTTAGTTACCACACAGACCATATCGAGGGTGGATCGTGTCGGCAATATGTATGGGTTACATACAGGGTATGACTCCCCAGAGGGTTTTAAAGGCTCATTCGGTTCGAGCAGTTGCCACGTCCCAGCTTGTATCGCGGGCTGCTCTGCCCATTGAGGGAGATAGTGCTCTATGGGCTATTTGGAGCCGACCGAGTAATGCGTTCATTACGCCATTATCAGCTGGAGAAACATCTGCATGGAGCGTGCTCGGTTTGGCCAGACGATTCTCCACAGTGGACAGAGTAGCACGCCTCTTCAGGCCGAGTAAGCCTTGTGGCTGATTTACTCATTGTTTCCATACTGGTGTCGGGTATATTCTCCCTATTTTGCACTGGTGAAGGTATGTGGTGGCGGTTTTATTTCCGTTCTTTTGGTGCTCCGGTGCCTTTGGCTTCTATTTTCCATTTTTCCCCGCTTGGCTGGCGAGTGTGCTATGGACAGTAGTTTGTTTTGGCGAGTCCCTAGTTTTACTCACTTCCCACCAATCAGGATGGGAGGTGTAGTTTTATCTTGGGGGTGTGTACCGATTGACCAATGGGCACTAAGCTTTGACCTCCAGGGTCCTCGCAAAAGCGCCATCACGCCCTTTGGATTGACATTGGCGGACACGTGACTGGGTAAGTGTGATTTCTATTTTCATCATGGCTGTACTACGTTACTGCGTTAGGACCAGTGTGTCAGACAGAATGCCACTCCGGTTTTTCTGATCTTTGGGGAGTCTGTTTTATGCTTATAAGTACCCCCAAGGAGGACTTCTTCTGAAAAGAATTATACAAACCTGTAGAGGTTATGAATTCTTTGAAGAAAGTCCTCCTTGCAAGTCTGGCCACCCGCCTCCCCTCATTCTGTCTGATCCGCTCAGCATGAAAAGTGAGGTGCGAGGTTGTCGGCTAGGGTTATTACCTGCTCTTGCCCGGTAGGGGGGCCCTTGGGGCCCTGTAGGAGTGGTCTCATAACGCATAGAACGTGTTTTTCGTTTTGTAAATATTTTATTGAAATATAGTTACAAGTGTCGTGAGGGTTTCAAAATGGACATTTTAATGCTTATAAGTATTCCCAAGGGAGAAACTCTCTACAGGTTTGTATAAACTCTCCATCACTTCTTGAAACTCTCCATCACTTCTTGAAACTTTACTTCTTGAAACTCTCCATCACTTCTTGAAACTCTCCACCACATCTTGAAACTCTCTATCACTTCTTGAAACTCTCCACCACATCTTGAAACTCTCCATCACTTCTTGAATCTGTCCATCACTTCTTGAAACTCTCCATCACTTCTTGAAACTCTCCATCACTTCTTGAAACTCTCCATCACTTCTTGAAACTCTCCATCACTTCTTGAAACTTCTCTCCATCACTTCATGAAACTCACCATCACTTCTTGAAAGTTGATACTCTCCATCACTTCATGAAACTCCCCATTACTTCTGAAAGCGATGTGTTAGTTCACACAGGACTCAGGTTTCTATGTATTAACTATGTTCTGTGTTCAACAGCTGGATATTTGTACGCTTCAAAACGAAGCAAGGAGCCCTATCATCCCTGGAGAAGTTGTCTTCTCTTCATGTACGCATTGCCGATGAGGGTAAGAACAAGAACAGAGAACAACGGAACACATTAGTGGAACAGACGGATGAGGAGGAGGAGGAGGAAAATGATAGTCTCATGGCCAACAAACGTACCTAAACCTTTGTGAATTTGCCATGTGTTTGTCGCCTTAGTCAGAAGTCCACTCTACTTCCCAAACTAACAGGCCGTTACCATCATATGTAGTGTTATAGTGTTTGTTGACTTAGTCAGAAGTCCACTCTACTTCCCAAACTAACAGGCCGTTACCATCATATGTAGTGTTATAGTGTTTGTTGACTTAGCCAGAAGTCCACTCTACTTCCCAAACTAACAGGTTGACTTTACCATCATATGTAGTGTTATAGTGTTTGTTGACTTAGTCAGAAGTCCACTCTACTTCCCAAACTAACAGGCCGTTACCATCATATGTAGTGTTATAGTGTTTGTTGACTTAGCCAGAAGTCCACTCTACTTCCCAAACTAACAGGCCGTTACCATCATATGTAGTGTTATAGTGTTTGTTGACTAGCCAGAAGTCAGAAGTCCACTCTACTTCCCAAACTAACAGGCCGTTACCATCATATGTAGTGTTATAGTGTTTGTTGACTTAGCCAGAAGTCCACTCTACTTCCCAAACTAACAGGCCGTTACCATCATATGTAGTGTTATAGTGTTTGTTGACTTAGCCAGAAGTCCACTCTACTTCCCAAACTAACAGGCCGTTACCATCATATGTAGTGTTATAGTGTTTGTTGACTTAGCCAGAAGTCCACTCTACTTCCCAAACTAACAGGCCGTTACCATCATATGTAGTGTTATAGTGTTTGTTGACTTAGCCAGAAGTCCACTCTACTTCCCAAACTAACAGGCCGTTACCATCATATGTAGTGTTATAGTGTTTGTTGACTTAGCCAGAAGTCCACTCTACTTCCCAAACTAACAGGCCGTTACCATCATATGTAGTTTTATAGTGTTTGTTGACTTAGCCAGAAGTCCACTCTACTTCCCAAACTAACAGGCCGTTACCATCATATGTAGTGTTATAGTGTTTGTATCAGTAAGTGAACAAACTTTGTTTCTCTTGTGGGGTATTCATTATAGAACCCAGTCCATGACATGTAGCAGTATTTTGAAATTAATTAATAAGATCAAAGGATCTTCATCATTGTCCTAATGTAAAGAAGACATGGGGAGTTTATGGATAACTATGCTAACTTAACTGTAGTCCCAAGAACACTGTTTCTTTGTAACACTGGGAAGCTTCATGTAAATGTTGGAAGGGCTGGATCAAAGACTGATGGCTAAGGCTGGCAGATCAGCTGGTTAGTAGTTCATAGTGATATCCATCACCTGATAAACAATATCCAATGTAGTGTTGTAGTATCTTTTTAGCTGATTTTTGATTGACCCAGGTTCAAGATTCATTATGGTTGTCAAAAGGTCAGTTAACTGATCAAGGCCCCACATGGGTACCGTGTGTGACGCCCAGTGCTGGTGTAACCTGCCGTGATATTGCAGGAATATTGCTAAAGGCAGTGTAAAACCATACTCACTCACTCACTCACTGATCAACGTCAGCCTTGGGTGTAAAGCTAATACTCACTCACTCACTCAACCAATCTGTAATAGTGTAAGTAATATTAAGATCTGGTTGAAGTAACAGGGATTGGCCAAGCTTTTTGGTAGTTGATTTTTGTCTATCTCTGTACTCTACACCATTTTTAGCCTAAGGAGACGTTTGTGATTTGTGTACATTCTTCACTGGCTGCTAGCAGATTGTTAGTGACAGGACGCTGAAGAGACATACAATTGCATGTAAATGATATTGTTTCTTTGTTGTTGTATATGTGTCGATTGATGAGATGTGCCTAATTTTTTATAATTTATTTTATTTATATATTTATTTATTTATTTTAATTATTCTTTTATTATTATTATTTTTATTTTTTTTTTTTTTGGGGGCATTTCTTAATTTTATTGTTCGGAAAGGTTTACATGTAATTATCTAGATTTACAGCAATGTATAAACTGGTGTATTTAAAATATACACGAATAGGTTTCATTTCAACCTGATATAAAAAATATCAGAGAAAGTGCAATACATTATCAATTGATATATTCTATAATTTGTGCTTAATGCTGAAGATTATATGGCTGACATTGTCTTCATGGAGCTGCTTGCTGGCATCTGTGACTTATGTATTAACTATGTGAAGAACATGGTCGTGGTTAAGAAATTCTGAAAATGAACACAACAGGAAGATTTCTTACCAAAATAAGCCAAGAAGAATTGTACAGATGGTTCAGTGGCTGTTACTGATCAGGTCATCAAGTTTTATGAAGTTAGATGAAATGGTTTTATAAGTCCCAGAATAAAATTGTTACAATGGAGCCAAGTCTTCAGTACCAAAACTCAAACATTAGGCCAGACCAATTTTATTTCTTGTTTTACTGATTTTTGTCCTCAGAAATCTAAAGGCAGGAGGGAATAAAAATACAAATAAATAAATACTTTAGGTATTTTACTTTTGGCAATTATGAAGTGTATATTGGGCAAAACACAATCTAAAAATACTTTTCTTGCTGGATCCGTAAAACAAGAAATAAAATTGGTCTGGCCTTATGTATAAATGTATATTGAACAACTGTTGCAACCAGTTTTTCACCTTAATAACAAGGTTATGACCTAAGCTTGCACCGGGTGCAAGTTGTTTTCATTTCCTTAAGTTGAGTCCATTGTGAGCAATACTGAGCATTTGTTGGTTTCACATTACTGTTCAACTCTCTACGCTGTGAGCATGCGCAGAGCGTGTGAAAAATATCCACTGGCATGTTTCCGGTTTGGTCGTATGTTTATCGATAGTGCAAATGCACGCTAAATAAAAGTTGTTGTGAAAATTATTTACGTTGTGACAACTGTTCATAGCTGAGTACATACTTTTAGGATGGTAGTCTGTAAATAATCAAGTCTGGACCAGACAATCTAGTGATCAACATCATGAGCATAGATCGGCACTAATGGGATACGTTAACGTGTCAACCAAGTCAGCGAGCCTGACCACCCAATCCCGTTAGTCGCCTCTTACAACAAGCATGGGTTACTGTAGATCAAATTTAACTCGGATTTCGGGTTATTGTATTAAGAAGTCAGTGAGTGAGTGAGTATGGTGTTTTTAGCAGTATTCCCCCTATATCTCAGCATGATGAGCTTCTCTTATTGAAACCATGTGGGGCATTGAACCCATGTCTTCTGCATAGAGACACACTTACCTCTAGGCTACATCGCTACCCCCATTGTTGAAATACAAAGTATATGTTGGAACCTTGGAAAAAAGAATATGGCATAGTTGTAACTTCTTTTTCTAAATAAGGCCAGACCAATTTTATTTCTTGTTTCACAGATTTTTGTCCTCAGAAAACCTAAAGGTAGGAGGGGAGAAAAATTAATAAAAATCACCAGTCAAAGTAATATTCATTTTAAATGCTAAAAGTGCAAAAACAATTTAAAAAGGGGTTGTGTATTTTTAATAACATTAGGATTTTGTTGGGGTTTTTTGGAAGTGGTTTAATAACAAATAAATTAATTATTCTGGAAAAAATATGACCACCAAGTCTTTAAAACAAGAAATAAAATTGGTGTGGCCTAAACAAGAAAGTAAGGGTAATTCTTAGTGAGCTTTATCCTTCAAGTAAAGCAGAAAAATCGATTAGGGAATGTTATTTTGAAAGTAAGTACCAGGACATGTGAATAGATATTTTGTACATTACATCAAATTCAATGATACAAATTACCCAAGAAGTATAATAACTTTTCTTGTGTTAATCTATTAGTTCATATGCGTGATGGTGCTCCAAGAAGACAAGATAATCCACAGAAGAAACAAGATGCTCCAAACCAGTTCATCAGAAAAGGGGTTCCTGGTAGCCAGCGTCATGAAGTGTTTGTGGGGAACATTGCCAACACCCTTAAAGAGGTATGTAGATGGCTGTGGACTGTTGGAAGTATAGTGTACATATAGGGCTGTATCCTCAAAGGGGGTTAAAGTACTGTAATGCCGCCATATGGCTGGAATATTGCTGAGTCTCGCTCCCTCACTCAAAACTAAAAACTCTGAGAGGGCTCCCTCACTCACTAAACTACTGTAAAGTTATTGTGCCCCTGAGAGGGTACGTAAGTGGGATGCTGAAGGGATGGTATAAATCAAGCTAGGGTCCATGCAGGTAGCAAAAGTACTGTAAGTCCCCATGGTCCCTAGTATGGTGATCTACCTTCAGTTGTTGGCGATCTACAGCCCAGTTTTATGTTGTATCATCTTCTATAGTTACGTATTTTAGATTTAATTACTAGTTTTAAATTCATATCTGTGATAATCTAGTTGTTTTACTGTTCTTCGTTGACAGAGGTTTAAAATTTACTTTTAATTATTATATGGCTGAAATGTTGCCGATGTGACTTAAAAACTTAACTCACTCACTCACTATTGTGTCCATATCTCCATATGCAGCCAAGTTACATACTGTGCCATGATGATGATGGGTTAACATTTAGGACAAGGCTGGCTTTTGGATTTTATCTGCTGTTTGTTTCGGTGTGAACATTCAATACAGATGCAAGTGTCTATATCTAGCAAGTGAACAGAGTGATCATACTGGCATGTCACATGCAAAGAATAAATGTTACGACAATATTTGTATTGTGAACGTGTAGCTGCATAATGGGTTATGTTGGTTTGGCAAACATTGTTTTTCTGTATGAATGTTGGATTCTCTTTTTGGACTAGATAGTAGAAACTATGTCAAGATTTCTTATATTTTTTCTTTAACAGGAAGAGTTTGATGACATGATTGCCGAGTTCAACCCAAGAGAATCTAGACTAATTCGGAAAGATGTGAAGTTGTAAGTTGTAGTGTGAAGTTAAAAGATCTTCATGATCCTGACAAGTGTTGACATAGTTTGGGCATGTATCGTATAACTTGCACCTCAAGTGATAGGATTTTATATCAGGGAATGCTTGCCCCAGCATTATTATCCCCCGCAAGGTGTTTAGCGGGGGGTATTAAAATGAGTGTGTCCGTGCACATTTGTCTTTTCCGGAGCAGAACTTTTAAACTGTTCAATATTTCTTCACCAAACTTGGCACATAGATAGATCTGGTGGTTTACTGGTGCCTTTTGATAGTTTTGGATTTCTGATTATTATATTTTTTGCGTTTCCATGGCAACAAGTTTGACTTTGACTGAAATTGGAGTTTGTGCTCTTTTCCAGAGCAGAACTTTAAAACCGTTCATGATTTCTTTACCAAACTTGGCACATAGATTGGTCTGGTGGTGTACTGGTGCCTTTTGGTAGTTTTGTATTTTTGAAGAAAATATTTTTTGTGTTTCCGTGGCAACAAGTTTGACTTCGACTGAATTTGATGGTTGTGCTCTTTTTCGGAGCAGAGCTTTAAAACCGATCACTATTTCTTCACCAGACTTTCCACATAGATAGGTGTGGTTGTGTACTGTTGCCATTTGATAGTTTTGGTGTTTCTGGCAATAAAACTAATTGGTGGTAGTGCTCTTTTCTGGAGCAGAACTTTAAAACTGTTCAATGTTTCTTCACCAAACTTGGCACATAGATACATCTGGTGGTGTACTGGTGCCTTTTGGTAGTTTGGGTATTCTGAATTAAATATTTTTTGGTGTTTCCATGGCAACAAGTTTGACTTCGACTGAAATTGGTGGTAGTGCTCTTTTCCGGAGCAGAACTCTAAAACCGTTCAATGTTTCTTCACCAAACTTGGCACATACATACACCTGGTGGTGTACTGGTGCCTTTTGTTAGTTTGGGTATTCTGAATTAAATATGTTTTGGCGTTTCCATGGCAACAAGTTTGACTTAGACTGAAATTGGTGGTTGTGCTCTTTTCCGTGAGCAGAACTCTAAAACCGTTCACCATTTCTTCACCAAACTTGGCACATAGATTGGTCTGGTGGTGTACTGGTGCCTTTTGGTAGTTTTGGATTTCTGAATAAATATCTTTGCATTTCCATGCCAACAAGTTTGACTTAGATTGAAACTGGTGGTAGTGCTCCTTTCTTTTAAAACCTTTCAATACTCTCCTTCCACTTTTCTATGTACACACCAAAACATTTGACATAATCATAACTCGTAGACATATTCATAAAGAGTATTTTGCCATTGCGGGGGATATTGATGACTGTGTCTTCTTGTTCTTTCTTGTCATGCTTGTGTCCCACTGTGTCCTAGTGGATATGGAGTCCTATCACATCTCACATTCTGTTGTCAGAGGAAGTCACACTGTTCACTCATGGGTTCAGGGGTTACAGGTAATTGGTTGAGTCCATTCGACAAGTACTTTCTTGACTTATTGAACACAATGACCTTTACTCTTTGTAAGGTATGCATTTGTGGATTTTGACACGTCTGTGGATGCACAGAGGATGATTGAAGCCTTGGATGGTGTGGAGATCAAAGGGCGGAGAGTAGAAGTGAGGATTTCCAAGTCCGAAAGTCCGCCGACCCAGAAGAAACACCAGACCAACCCACCGCCAAGTCATGCTGCAGGTGAGTAGCAATACAGGTGGGTCTCCATGACTGTACCGATATGCGGCATCACCATACGATGTACATCTTACTGATAGTCTTGACTTGTTAGGGACACATTTGATCATCAGACAGAATCATAAGACACTAGGCGTGACTTTTGAGGGGGAAACAACTATTGCGATGGCAATAGTCTATTGTGATAGCGATAGTCTATTGCGACCAGCTATTGCAAAACTAATGCATTAGTTTTTTTCTCCTTGAATTATCTCATTTGAAGTCATTTCACAAATGAATGTATAATTTATATGAAATAAAAACAAGCTGAAGTAGTTTCAGTCTCTTATAATAACTGACAAGAAACTTGAAACCCAGATCAAGTTCGTTAAAAGAGGTAACAGGGGCGGAGAACTCTAAATCAAAGTGAATGAATCTGGTACTTCCTGTATTTTGCGCTGTGCATTTATCAACGGACATCAATTACTACAATATCGATAGTCACACATACCATCGATACATCGATAGCTTTTCATTTCTATCATCGATTAATTGCTATCTGAGACTCAACAATTGCAATCCATCGATAGTTCAATGCATCGTTACAGTCCTACAAGACACCCAACCAACACATATGCAATTGATTAATTGTTTGGATTTTGACATTTTGAGACATCTTCCACCCAGCAGATCCAATTGAATAGATCGATGCTCATGCTGTTAATCTCTGGATTGCCTGATTGTCTGTTCCTGACTCGATTATTTACAAACCGCTGCCATATGACTGGAGTATTGCTGAATGCAGCATTAAACAACAAACAAATCTCAGCTGACAAGGCTACAGTCGAACCCTGTTTACTTGGACCCCGTACATCCGGAAACCCCGTTTTTTAGGTGAAACGAAACTTACCTTTAGTAATTGTACTTGCTTAGCTGGACCCCGAGCTTCTGAACCCGGATGGAGAATCTTCAAACCATTCCCATAGATTTCCATTGAAAAATTATCCTGTTATCCGGACGCAAAGTTCTGTGCGCATGTGCATGTGTGTGTTTACTGCATCACTAAGTGTATTCATTGTTAATCTCTCCGCAGGCGTTTGATGTGAATTGATTAATTACCCATCAAAACACTACGGACGCGTGTCATTTCAGTTGTTAATTAGGATTTCGCAGGTGTGAGAACATCTCATCAGTAACAAAAATACACACACAAAAAATTACTACATTGTAATTGTACTGTATATAACGTCTCGTCACATATCTGTAGACAGGTATTGGGCATCATGGCTCAGACTCAGACTCACACTCTTTATTCTCCATAGGGCCACCAAAGGTGGTATAAGTGTGAATTACAGGGTATGATAATACAGTGTGAGGTGCAACTATAATTCAGTGATCCAGTTAACCGGACGCCTCACTATCCGGACGATTCCGAGTGTAACCAAAATGTCCGGATAAACGGGGTTCGACTGTAGATCATAGCTGGAGGCCTTGTTTGCAGTCTTTTTTCTTGGCATTATGAATGAGAAGGAAGTAATCAAAGTTCATTGTAGGCTTGTGTTGTATGTACACTGTTTGTGTGGGTGTGCTCAGGGGCGGATCCAGGATTTTGGAGAAGGGGGATACACAAACATAAATCATTATGTCCAATGCTCTTCAGGGAAAAAGTTTTCGGGGGAGAAGGGGATGCGCACTCTCTCTCTCTCTCTCTCTCTCTCTCTCTCTCTCTCTCTCCCCCCCTCTGGATCCGGATCCGTCCCTGGTACTTTTATGTATGTTGTGTTTGTGTGTGTGTACAGTATGTATGCTGTTTGTATCAGTGTGTTTATGAGTGAGTGAGTGCGTGCGTGCTGTTTGTATCAGTGTTTATGAGTGTACTCTCTCTCTCTCTCTCTCTCTCTCTCTCTCTCTCTCTCTCTCTCTCTCTCTCTCTCTCTCTCTCTGTGTTTGTATCAGTGTGTTTATGAGTGTACAGTGTTTGTGTGTGTATATTCCTCAGGTGGGGAATCTTCATCAGGGAGAAACATGAAGGCAGACGCAAATCACCACAGTCACCTAAAAACTTTCCACCAAGATAAACCTGGTGAGACTCCAATGTTAAGTTAAAAACAGGACTAGTGTTTTCATGACAAAGCATTTGGCATACGATAATTTTTTATTGAACTTTAAGACTCATGATATTTATGTAAATGATCATTAGATTCCTGGTTATGAAACTGTATAGTTTAAAATACAGATATTAAACCAATAATTTCCAGTATTTTTCCTCTCTGAATTCAGTCTTCTAATATCAGCTCATTACCTCTTTACTGGAACAAGTTAAAAAAAATCACCACTTCACTGGATGCATATATCAAGTGATCATTGATAAAATAGCCTCCTTGGAACACACACAAGTGAAGAGTCATCTGTACTGTACACTGGCCACAGATGTACAGAATACAGTGCAGGACATAGGTGTGTTGACCTGACAACCACTGACATATTGTGTTTGGTTTATCAGGTATTTTAGGACCTATACCATCAGGTGGCCTTGGACGAGGGGATGCAAGCAACTCCGAGCTGAACCGCAGTTTTGAAAGTTCCTCCAGTTCAGGCTGTGGTCGAGGACTGAAACTCTCTGATCGGATGCGGGACATCAGTATTAGCATTGACAGTCGGGGGAAGAAGCTGGTGACATCCACCCCAGTAGTCCGGTCGCCACAGAAACCACAGCAGCAGGAGCCGCCTGCCAGGCATGTAGCAGAGGCAGAAGATGATATGCCAGAACTCGAAGCCCCCCATGACGGAGCTGGAAGTTTCGATGCCTGACTTGGAGAATTCTGTTGATGTAAACAACACCTCTGGTGAAGTGATGGAGGATGGGAAGGATGACAAGCCTATCAGCATATTTGTGGCCAACTTCCCCAAGTCAACTACACCGGTAAGATGGGTCTCTATTGTAATTGTCTACATCACCAGTAAGATAGATTTCACTGTACCTGATCTGGTACACAACATCGGTAGCTTGGGATTACTGTATGTTCCCTGAGCCCTGTTTTACAAGGTGATGAAAAAGATGCTGCTCACACAAGCTTAGATATAGGAGTAATGGTATTAAAATGTCTCTCTGGGGATAGTTGCCTTTACAGGGTTCATTCCTCAGAGAATGTTGTGAACTTTCTCATGATACCTCCTGCACTGGCTATGTGATTTGTGAGTTGTTGATCAATCATAATGATTTTGGCAGACAGATGATCATGATGTTTTTCACTGGATTGTCTGGTCCAGAATCGATTATATTTAAACACCCACTCACTCACTCACTCACTCACTCACTCACTCACTCACTCACTAATATTTGTTTCTTTTTTTCAGCGTGAGCTCTACATTTTGTTCCTGCGCTATGATGTTGTGAGTGTCAACATTGTCCCAACCAGCAAGTGGTAAGTGGTATTTCCAAGTGCTCTGATGACGTGTATAGACCATGACGACAGAGATGCAGCAGTTGGTCATCAGTACTGCATGTTGTGGATGTACAGATAATATTCCATAGTGGATTTCAATTATTCATTTCTTTTTGTAATTCAGTCATCTTTTTTTAAGACTACTTTTCAAATTAAGCACATCACCAAAAAACATTCTAAATAACAGACTTGTTCACTAAATAGGCTGTCGGACATGCTTAGCCTTAATGCCACTTATATCATGACTAGATGTGACATCTTTTTGTTAACAATCCATTCCACAAGTGAAAATGTCAACTGATGTCAGTAAGTTTTACCCATGAAGATCTGGGTTTGCATTTCTCTTCAGAAACCCATGCCTATTGTTAAGCGACACCTCAGAGACACCTAACAGGTCTTGGTTGAAAATGTTTGCTTGTATCAATGTCCTTTAATATCATCTGAACCTGGAGTCACGCATCCATTGTACCACAAACTGTAAAAACACATAAAGGGAGATAACCTATGTTTTGGGAGGCAGTAGCATTACTGTAACTCTGGGCACTAGAGTTTTTACACCCAGTGAAATATCGTTTTTATGTTTTCACAGAATTTACTTTGTGATAAATTACTTGATTAAAGCTGTATACCTTTTCACCTTACTTTTATCAGTGTTGTAATTGCAGCCCCAAAGCATACGTGTTGTTGCCAAATCTAGACATGGTTGAGGCTGCCCTCCGAGATATGAATCAAATGGACTACCTAGGTCGGCCATTGTTGCTGGACATTCCCCGAACCACCCCTGAGGTGAAGGAGAAACTGATGGCCCGCCAGTGCAGTACAGGTCGACCTGTCACCAGGACCCGCAGCCAAGTGTTGGATGGAATTAGTGACTCCTTGGACTCTTCCACTGAGGCGTCATCAGAGTCTGAACGCAGTATTTACGAGGTGTTGGAACTGTACTCTCACATACTAGACAAGATGAGAGTGAGGAGGAACATCCTGAAGGAGGGCAGCCACATCAAGGTGCTGGTGACAGCTGCAGAGGAGGAGACCTTCTTCTGGGGGCAGGTGGTCAGTGAGGTGAGGGACACTCACCGTGATCGTATCTCCCATACTTTAACATAGGTTTATGAGCATCATAGCACTAACATTCCTTTAGTGAGATGACAAATTATGGGTTGCTAATATTGCAAGGAAAAGACTTAAGTAGACAGTATGTTTGTGTAGAGAAAATATTGTTCACGGGTACGAATGGTCTTACGATGCATGCGGAAGGCCCTTTTCGATCCCCTGCCTGATTACAATGTGTGAAGCATATTTTCTGGTGTCCATTGGTCTGGAACGTTGCTAAAAGTGTCATGAAAGCCGAAGTTTTGTTCAGTGTTGAGCTGAAGTTTCAATCAAATAAATTCAGTTCATAGACATACTTCAGGCAGGTACTGTATAATGGATTTTCAACTTAATGTTTATCTTTTGATCTAAGATGGAAAACCTGAGGGCTTTGAAGCGACTGATCCTTCAGCTGCAAGATACAGAAAACCACCTGGCCAGGACAAAGGGCCTTGGGCGATGTGCTGCAATGTATGAAGGGGAGTGGCACAGGTGGGTTCTGACAGTCTGTCCTGATTGTATGAAGGGGAGTGGCACAGGTGGGTTCTGACAGTCTGTCCTGATTGTATGAAGGGGGAGGGGCACAGGTGGGTTCTGACAGTGTGTCCTGATTGTATGAAGGGGAGCGGCACAGGTGGGTTCTGACAGTCTGTCCTGATTGTATGAAGGGGAGGCGGCACAGGTGGGTTCTGACAGTGTGTCCTGATTGTATGAAGGGGAGGGGCACAGGTAGGTTCTGACAGTGTGTCCTGATTGTATGAAGGGTGAGGGGCACAGGTGGGTTCTGACAGTCTGTCCTGATTGTATGAAGGGGAGCGGCACAGGTAGGTTTTGACAGTCTGTCCTGATTGTATGAAGGGGGAGGGGCACAGGTAGGTTTTGACAGTCTGTCCTGATTGTATGAAGGGTGAGGGGCACAGGTGGTTCTGATGGTGTGTCCTGATTGTATGAAGGGGAGCGGCACAGGTAGGTTTTGACAGTCTGTCCTGATTGTATGAAGGGGGAGTGGCACAGGTAGGTTTTGACAGTCTGTCCTGATTGTATGAAGGGTGAGGGGCACAGGTGGTTCTGATGGTGTGGCCTGATTGTATGAAGGGGAGGGGCACAGGTGGGTTCTGATGGTGTGTCCTGATTGTATGAAGGGGAGGGGCACAGGTGGGTTCTGATGGTGTGTCCTGATTGTATGAAGTGGAGCGGCACAGGTGGGTTCTGATGGTGTGTCCTGATTGTATGAAGGGGAGTGGCACAGGTGGGTTCTGATGGTGTGTCCTGATTGTATGAAGGGGAGTGGCACAGGTGGGTTCTGACAGTCTGTCCTGATTAATTGTATGAAGGGGGAGGGGCACAGGTGGGTTCTGACAGTCTGTCCTGATTGTATGAAGGGGGAGTGGCACAGGTGGGTTCTGATGGTGTGTCCTGATTGTATGAAGGGGAGTGGCACAGGTGGGTTCTGATGGTGTGTCCTGATTGTATGAAGGGGAGGCACAGGTGGGTTCTGATGGTGTGTCCTGATTGTATGAAGGGGAGCGGCACAGGTGGGTTCTTGAAGGGAGGGGTTCTGATGGCACAGGTGGGTTCTGATGGTGTGTCCTGTGTATGAAGGGGGAGGGGCACAGGTGGGTTCTGATGGTGTGTCCTGATTGTGAAGGGGAGTGGGCACATGAAGGATTGTATGAAGGGAGGGGCACAGGTGGGTTCTGATGGTGTGTCCTGATTGTATGAAGTGGAGGGGCACAGGTGGGTTCTGATGGTGTGTCCTGATTGTGGCACAGGTGGGTTCTGATGGTGTGTCCACAAGTGGGTTCTGATGGGTGTCCTGTATGAAGGGAGTGGCACAGGTGGGTTCTGATGGTGTGTCCTGATTGTATGAAGTGGAGGGGCACAGGATGGTGTGTCCTGATTGTATGAAGGGGAGGGCACAGGTGGGTTCTGATGGTGTGTCCTGATTGTGGCACAGGTGGGTTCTGATGGTGTGTCCTGATTGTATGAAGGGGAGGGGCACAGGTGGGTTCTGATGGTGTGTCCTGATTGTGGCACAGGTGGGTTCTGATGGTGTGTCCTGATTGTATGAAGGGGAGGGGCACAGGTGGGTTCTGATGGTGTGTCCTGATTGTATGAAGGGGAGTGGCACAGGTGGGTTCTGATGGTGTGTCCTGATTGTATGAAGGGGAGGGGCACAGGTGGGTTCTGATGGTGTGTCCTGATTGTGGCACAGGTGGGTTCTGATGGTGTGTCCTGATTGTGGCACAGGTGGGTTCTGACAGTCTGTCCTGATTGTATGAAGGGGGAGTGGCACAGGTGGGTTCTGATGGTCTGTCTTCATTATATTAAGGGATCGGCACTGGTCTGAAATTCATTTCAGTCGTGCACTTGTTTGTTTCAGGGCCTGGATTCTGAAAACCTCCCTGAGACACAACGAGAAGGTGAAAGTGTTCTTTGTGGACTATGGCAACATAGAGCATGTGCGATCACATGAGACTATCGTGGTAGCACCCAAGTTCTGGGAACTCCCACCCATGGCCAGACCATTTACCATTGCAGGTAGGACAGTTGTAGCATGTAGGAAGAACTTATCTTCATCTTCACTATCCTTAAGTATCCCAGGTTATGAATTGGTCCTGTGTATTGCATGCTTGTTGTATGGGGAAGGAGAGTGGCTCAGTCCTTAGGGGAGCTCTTGGGTAAGAATTGATTCAGGGTACTTTTTGCTTGGAACAAGTTGGGTGGCATTGGCTGTGGCTGTGGCTGTAGGGGAGCTGTTTGGTAATAATAAGTCATGATCATGATCATCAAATGTGGGAAGGAGTATGGCTCAGGCGGTAGTAGAGCTCTTGGCTAAGAATGGATGCAGGGTACACAATGCTTGTTGTATGGGGATCGGCACTATGACCTGAAGGAATGGTAAAAATGAAAATGTTGAGGTGACTGCAATCAAGCACTCTGCTGTATGTAGCGCCGTGAGCAGGCAATGTGCCTGGATATGAGCGCCATATAAGCGGACTATTACTATTACTGTTACTGATGAGTCGTTGTTGTTGCCCTCACTTATTCCAGTCAGGGCGGTGGGGTAGCCTAGTGGTTAAAGCGTTGGCTCGTCACATCGAAGACCCGGGTTCGAATCCCCACATGGGTACAATCAATGTACGAAGCCCATTTCTGGTGTTCCCCGCCGTGATGTTGCTGGAATATTGCTAAAAGCGGCGTAAAACCAAACTCGGTCAGTCAGTCTTATTCCAGTCATACCGTCATGGTAACAATAAGATTTCATGTAGGTAGTGCATATCTGTCCACATGTGGGAACGTGCGTGTGTGTTTCAGGTGCGGGACTCCCAGACCTTGGCGCCCTGGAGTCATCAGTTGTTGACTGTCAAGTAATGAAGACAGCCCCTGTTGCTAGTGTAAGTTGTACTTGAGGCATCAGATGTACCACGTTATACCATCAGCTGCTTCTGTCTTATAGAGTACTAGCAACTGGTCTCCTTATACTGATGTGCCTTGATGCACTGTCTTAGTTTAGCAATGTCTGTATGCTTGCATTCCAATGCACATATGATCGCTAAGGTGACTCGTTGATGTGTTTATGCTCTGACCAAATTTTCCAAGTCTGTGATGAAACAGCCTACCGTAAGTGTAAACTGTAGATAAGCTGACCCCCTTTTAAGGACTGCTTATGTTTTGGTCCTCAAAATTCGGCTTATGAACTAGTGGTGGTCCGATTAATTGAAATAATCGAAGATTGGTTGTAGTGACTAAACGACCAAGCAATCGATCACAGTTTCTCATAATCGAACACAAACAATTCTGGAACACTTGTTTTCATTAACAATATTTTTCACATGGTTGGTTTTGTCTGTTATATTTCGTAAGCACTACAAGCTCGTTTCAAGTCACAATTGAATTTATCTTAAAGATTCCAAGAAATTTATGTTCCTAACATACTAGTCATCTTTTAAAGATGTGAAATTTTTGCCAAAAAACCCCAAAAGAACTACTTGTATTTTACCTTATTTTTGTGTGCATTAACAAATTTCATAAATGATGCTAACCAATTATTTTTGATGATTGATCGGTAGTAATGAACCAATCATCAATTGTGAGATTTTAACCAATTCCCAACACTATTATGAACAGTCATATACGGTACATATGATTGTGACACGATTTAATTGTGCCATTTAACAATACTGCAAGGGCCATTCATTAAATGTCTCTGTGTCCTCATAACAATCATATTGGGGTGTGACTGAATGAAAATGGAAAACTATTTGCTGGATTAGAGAAAATTGCTGAAAGCAGTCATGAAGGTTGTGTTGCTCTTGTTTCAGGCTATGCTGACTGAAGTGGACATAGTGCGGATATAAGGAATGCCTGCTGTGTGGACAGCTTTGGAGCACCCCATACATCACAGTCATCATACAATGCTACAAATATTTCATTGGTTTTCATGTTTTCATATTAAGTTGATATCTAGATACACATATGTTAAACATTTCTAGAAATTGACGTATCGCATGTGCCCCAGGTTTTATGGTCTAGGCCATTTGAAACACAATATCATGTTGCTGTTATGTAAGCAGCTCAATTAGTTTGATGATATCATGTGACTAGCACATAAATATATTGGTCACAAGTTGAAAACACTGCAGGTGAGTTCATTGAGAGATACTAGCTGTTTGCATTTAGTTTGTGTTGCATTGCTAGCTCGTGTATTCTACTCAGGGTACAATCCCAAGCATTTGTTAATATGATTCAAAGTTTATTTCATGAAAAGTTTGTTTTCTGATGGTTATTTTTATCCAAAGTTTAATACAGCCTGATAATTGTTTACCTATGGTTGAAGTAGTATGGAACACGATGGCGATCAGCCATAGAATAAGCATCAGGATTCACAACTGGACAGTATGTTGGATGTTCAGCAGCAAAACCCAGTTGTTTTAACTTGTAAGGCCAGACCAATTTTTAACCCCTCTCAACGCGTTTTGCGGGGGGTATTAAAATGCACTCCGTCTGTCCGTGTGTCCGTGCGTCCATGCGTCCGTACACATTTGTCTTTTCTGGAGCAGAACTTTAAAACCGTTTTTCACCAGACTTTCCACATAGATAGCTGGGGTGGTGCACTGGTGCCTTTTGGTAGTTTTGTACTTTTGAAGAAAATATTTTTTGTGTTTCCATGGCAACAAGTTTGACTTCGACTGAATTTGGTGGTAGTGCCCTTTTCCGGAGCAGAACTTTAAAACTGTTCACTGTTTCTTCACCCAATGTGGCACATAGAGAGGCCTGGTGGTGTACTGGTGCCTTTTGGTATTTTTGGAATTCTGAATAAAATATTTTTTGGTGTTTCCATGGCAACAAGTTTGGCTTCAACTGAATTTGGTGGTAGTGCTCCTTCCTGGAGCAGAACTTTAAAACCTTTCAATACTCTCCTTCTACTTTGCCATATACACACCAAAACATTTGACATAATCGTAACTCGTAGACATATTCATGAAGAGTATTTTGCCATTGAGGGGGATATTGATGACTTTGTCTTCTTGTATTTCTTGTTTTACCAATTTTTGTCCTCAAATACCCTAAAGGCAAGAGGGGAAAAAAATAGAAATAAAATCACCAGTCAAAGTAATATTCCATCAAATTATGAAAAGTATTTTACTTTGGGTAATTTTTGTAGTGTATATGGGGCAAAAAATCAATTTAAAAAATCATTCTCTAGTAAGTTTACACTTTTGGCCGATAAAAACATTTGGATGTTATTTTTTGAGCGGGGAAACTGTTGTTTTTTTTCTTATTCTTGAAAAAATACGACCGGCGGATCCGTAACGCAAGAAATATATTGGCCTGGCCTAATGATTTGTTTTCTAGTCATGATCATGTCCATTCATGTATTTACAGTAATGTTTTTAATTTTTCACAGAAGTCCAGGCATATCCTACAACTCATTATGTGACAGGGATATTGTGAGTGACCAGGTTGGGTCTGAGTAATTGGCTATGTGGAGAGTATGTCATACACACAGTATCCCATGGTGCCCTGGAACTGTATGTCATACATACAGTATCCCATGGTGCCCTGGAACTGTATGTCATACACACAGTATCCCATGGTGCCCTGGAACTGTATGTCATACACACAGTATCCCATGGTGCCCTGGAACTGTATGTCATACACACAGTATCCCATGGTGCCCTGGAACTGGCATGTTCAGATTCTAGTTCAGCATCATATCAGTCATGTACCTGGTTCAGATGTTGAGTAGTACATGTGTATCGAAACCTGGGCTGAATTTACAGTGAAACTCTACAGACATTGACTACAGAGTGAACACATATTGAAGAAGTATTTGTTCATATCATCTATCAGTAAACTATGGTTATAACTAACACAGAATGGGCCTCTAACTGTATTTCATCATTACCATAGTTCGTTTTATGCATTTAGGCAAAAATATAGGTCAACTGGTGCATTATATCTGCCATTTCTGAATATATTCATAGTTTTCGGCCATGTGATCCGTGCCATTTCACACTTGTCAGAGGGGTACACAAAGTTTGTGAACGAGACTACCAGTTGTCCGACATCCATTTTAATGGAAGCCACAGTGTCTTAGTGGGTTAGATTACTTACCTCTTGTGCTGGCGTTTAGGTTCCTGATTCTGAGAATATGGGTTTGAATCCCAAATTGGAGTCAGCCCCAAAAGTAGTAGAATCTGTAGTTTTCTGAAAAAGTGAAATCCCAAATATAACAGATGTTATATCTGTCATTTCATATTAGCGTGTTTGTTATAAACTGTATCTTCATTATGTCTTCAATTACTGTGAATTGAATCCTGAGTCAAATATCAAGATACTTCATGTGATCATTCCAACCCTTCGGACAAACCTTAGCTCTGCCCAGGTTCATTTGCCACCAGTTATAGAAGCTGACTGAAAGCCCACCTGGACTGTACTGCTAACAGTCTGAAGTGAAGGGCAAATCTTGTAGCAGAGCATCCTTGACGAAAGATAAGTATAAATACACAATGCCATTTAGAAAGTGGTCAAATGTAACATATGTTGTATCTGGGATTACCCTTTCTTAGTAAAGTACAGATTCTAGTACTTTTGTTGGTTTGAGTCCCATATGGGATTCGAACCCACACTCTCAGAGTCAGGCACCTAATCGCCAACTCACAAAGTCAGATAATGCGTTGGCTGAGCGGGTTAGGTGTCTGACTTTGTGTGCTGGCATTTAGGTGCCTGAGTCTGAGGGTGTGGGTTCGAATCCCGGATGGGACTAACACCCAATAAAAGTATTAGAATCTGTACTTTACTGAGAAAGTGTAATCCTAAATACAACATATGTTAGAAAACATAAGAAGGAGGCTCCCTTGGCTCAGTGGTCACTGTATTGGAATATTCTTTATGTATTTTGTATTTAGAACAATCATCTGACATTGAATATCTTACATCTTTTGAGTTTACCAGAAATATCAGTTTCTTGAAGAATGCTTGAAGCAGTAGATTTCCTTAATTGGAAACTTAGCAAGGTTTTGGAAACATTGACATGGTGCTACAAATGTTTGTATGAAACAAACAAGATTTTCGCTTGAGTTCCTCCTCGTAAAACTGATTTGTGAAAAGAACAAAGAAAATGTAATTATATCAGTACCAACGTTTAATCAGATTAGTTAACTTGAACCAAAAAAAATGACCCCCTTGTCTTTCTGTTTTTTCTATGTTTCTTGACTCTTTGAATACATGGAAATAGTTGTATCTGAGAGTCATTCATTATGCCATTAACTGAATATTTTAAAAAGCCAATAATTTGGATAAATGTATATGTTACAATCCAATATCTTGATACCTTCTTACCAGTACAATATATGTTATTTTGATAAGCATTTAAAGCATTAATATTGAGGAGAACCACTTGAAATAAGAGTTGTAATACTGAGACACCTTGAGTGTAGCTGACAACATCCTAGTCTTGTGCCAAACAATCTATGGGCATTAACCATCAACTGATCTTTACAGTCAGTGAATATGCTCAGGTGTTACTGATCTTGTGTGATTGTTTCTTGAGAAGGATATAACCTGCTTATCCCCATCCCGTAAATAAGAAATGACTGTAAATGTTACGGAAAGCTTGCACTGTCAGAAGGTTCATAATTCTTAAGTGTTCCTGGAGTCTGCAATAGACTAATTAAAAGTTCTCATTTAAACAATAATCATTCATATAATGCTAAAACGTATTACTCACAGGTTTAAAAAACAAAATATCTACAGGTTCGTCATTGAGTGACTTTTACATTTTAAAAAAAATTGTGTAAAAATACCATATGAAACTGACAAGTACACAACAATATGTGAAAGTAAAATACGTCTGTTGGCATCTTCTTAATACAAGGGAGATAACCCCTTAATACTTCTCTCTTCCTCTGACTGTCTGACATGACTTGTCAAAACTTTCCCACAAAATCCAGTTTCTTGGTTGGATATGTTTAATAAAACAGCTCTAGGTATGATCTAACATTATAGATGAACCTTTGCAATTTTTAGCGTTATCTATCATATTAGTAGTAAATTAGTTTTAGTGGCTGAATGTCAGTCAATACTGTCTTGGTTGTGTATGTACATTGTAAAAACATAACTAGTTTAGTTGAAATAATTAGTTTGCTTCATGAAGGCATTTATGTTACAGTTTTTGCAAGGGCAACTGAATTTAGTTCTATATTCCATTGTGGTATGATTCACTTTTGTTTAATTAAAATTAATGGTTGTGTTCTTAGCCACATACACAAAGGGATCTTTGGTCACCATGGTTACAACAATCACAGCTGTATGTTCCCTTTGTGTAGGTGGGCTCTGCACTTAGTGAATCCATTTTCCTGATGATGTTTAAATGATTTCCAAACTTCGTCATATTCTTGCAGAGGTTTGTTTATTGTTCATAGTTCTATAGTTTTTCATGTACTTAGTTCTTCAGTCCACTGAATGTTCACACTTCCTATTTCAACTGAAAGGAAGTAAGTTCTCTCTTCTTTGCATGTTTTTAAAAAAAATCTTATAACATGTGATTATGAAAGTCTTCACAATGTTTTGCATGCACGTCTCTTGTTCTGAAGACAGAATGGAGCCTTTATACCTTTTTACACTTATGTATTTGACTATGTGGTTTGGGGTTATATAATCTGAACAACTGTAATGTGTAGTTGAGGCAAACATATTTGTATATTGGCTGATTCTTTGCCAGTGTCATTTCTGTGTGTTCAGCTATCAATATGATCACACTTACTGTGCTATCTTTGAATTGTCTTTTCTGTTGGCAAGTCCTTCACACTGCGATATATAGACATGCTAGCAAGACATTCTGTCCATGTGCACC